CTTGATTTTTAGGCTTGAACCAACTTTCTCTTGTTCGAGCCATGAGTAATGCAAAATAGGGTTTGCTCGAGCATAAGTTTTGCAGCTCAAGCCACCGTGCAATTGTCTGCAAAACTTATAGCGATCCCGGGTTTTTTCCCTTTATGTACAGTGTTCCGGACTTAGGATCCATACTATTGGTTGTGGTTATATAGTGTTGTCATCCTTTAATCCCATATATATATGAGTTTTAGGATGTGTTGGGCAGGTTTGTAACAGGTTGGTTAAGCCTTGGTTCCATTTCTTGTCGCCTAGATTTTTAGTGATCCGCTCGAGCGGGTCTTCTTACGCTCGAGCAGAGTTTTCACACTTCCAGCATTTTGTGCCTCTGTAAAAGTACTGCAGGGTGGTTTTTCACGCTCGAGCGGGATTACTTATGCTCGAGCGGGCCTCTTGGCGCTCGAGCGAGTGTTCATGTCTGTAAAAGTACTGGGAGATGGTAATCTACGCTCGAGCGTCTTTTCTTTCGCGCTTGAGCGGGTATATTTTGTAGTTGTGTCTTGGCGCTCGAGTGGAAATCTTTGCGCTTGAGCGGATCAAGTTTTTGTGTTTGACGCTCGAGCGTCCTATTCCCCGCTCGAGCGGGGCATACGTATATCAGTAGACAGCAGCGAGATTACACTTCACTTTTTCATCTCCTTCTTTTTCAAAAACCCTAGATCTGAGCTCTCTCTCTCTCTAAACAACTTCTCTTTAGGGATTGATCTACTTATAGTGTGTTTCTACTCTAACCTCTTTGTAAGAAAGGTAGGGGGTGTTGAGGGCTTCCTTTTAATATGAAAAATAGTGGGTTTGGAGCACTTTGATTTTTGGTCATCTTCTCCTTTGGGCTTCTACTTTCGAGGTACGGATATCCTACTCCATCTTATGAATTTTGTCTTTAAATTTTGGCATTTTGATATGTTGGGGATGTTGGGTAATTTTGGAAAAGTTAGGGTTTGTCTTTGTAATTTAAGAAAGAGGGGTTTTCAAATTATTAAAACCTATGTGTATGTGAGTGGTTGAAAATGGGACTAATGTTGTTACATTGGTGAAACCAAGCCTTAGGGTTGGTATGTGAAATATGGAAAATGCCCTAACGGTATTGAACAATTATCTTGTATAGTTAATTTGGTGAAATGAGAAATTGAGTTGAGAATAATGAAATTGGTAAAGTATGGGATTGAATGGTGTAGTTGAATTAATTTATCACTCGCCTATGAAAATGTTGATATTATATCTATTTGATGCATTTATTTTCTGTTTAAAAATAACTGCTTTGGGCTATCGGTAGAGGATAGTCTTGAATGTTGTACACAATACATGATGATTAGGCGAGCCAAAACTAATCAATTGAATATGCCATCAAATATGGCGGATGGAATCATACATCAAATTTATGTATTGATTGACCCTGTATATGATATGTGTTTATATACTTTGTGTTGTGTGGGAGGAGATAGGGGATGCACTCCACGGTAAGGGAAGATAGGGGATGGACTCCTAAACCGGACATTGTTTGGGAGGAGATAGGAGATGTACTCCAATGATATAGCAAATATGTGTATCCAGTGAATTATTGATATAGCAAATTTGTATATCATATGTGAAGTATGGAAGTGATGTGTTTGAGATTGATATAGCAATTATGTGTATCTATGGTGAAGTAAGAAGTGTTTAACATGAATTATTATCCCAAATGAAATAGATGTACTATTAACATGAGATATAGTCTCATTGAATGATTGGCCAGGTTCTGAGCCACGTTTATGAAATGATTTGTATAAGTAAAGGAATATGAAATGAAACATGGACTTTATGTCATGGAAATGGATTATATTGTGATGTGGTTCATAAGTGTTAACCATCTATCAAATGCTATTATTTTAGTCATTGCTTATATTTGGTTTAGTATATTTCTACTAGGCTGTGGCTCACCCTATATGGGACATCATTTTCAGGTCCAGGTGATATGCCACCTCCAAGATCATAGCTTGGGAGGTACTGGGAGTAGAAGATCCTTTTTTATTATTTTTGTCATCTTTTGTTATATTACATGTAAATTTAAGCCGAGGGCTTAATGTGTATGAGTTAGTACTCTCTTTTTGTAACCAAGTGTTGGTTTGGAAAGTTGTAAACCCAGAGGGCATTTACTTTTGTTGTCAACATGTAATACTTTTGTACTTAATTACACTGATGAATGGAAAAGTGTTTATTTCTCTTCTATCAATGCTTGTCAAGAAAGAGGGGTTTTATGTATTATTTTGAGGGCGGTACAAAACTTCTGGATGCTAGAATTTTACGCTCAAGCGACACTTTCTTTGGTCAAGCTAACTGGTTGAATTCTAGAATTCCCAAAACTGTGTTTGAAGCTCAAAACATGAATTCAAAGGCTCAAAGCTTGCAAGTTTGGTACGAAAACATGGATAAACATTATGTGACATGAAAATACTCTCAATTTGAAACCAATTACTCAAAATCATGAACCAAATTCTAAAATCAAGCTTAAATCATGAGGTTGAAACCATACATGACATGAATCGCACTCTTTTCTTTTCAAAACTCCCGTGCATGAGATGAGAAGTGTTAGAACTATGGAATACCCTCAAAATTGTCAAGTATAGCTTCATGCATGTGGAAGATTTCATGAAATTCAAACTCAAAATGACGATTCATGCATGCATGCACATAATCTTGCTTAGTTCCTCCATAATCAAGATGTATTTGGCTTATACTTCCTAAATTCATGCAAATGGTCTCAAAACTTGGTGAATTCATTTCTTATATGGATTATTTACAAGAATTAAGTATGGTTTCCATACCTGGAATTGAGTTCAAGTGCAATCCTAGCTCAAATCTTCAAGTCTTCCACAAATTCTCTACAATTCTTTTCTCTCTCTCTCTCTAGAGTTGATTCGCCCTCACTTTCTCTCTAAAATCTCAGCCAAGTGTTGTATAATGTGAGCTCAAACATGATTAAGGCCTTATATAAGGTGTAATTAGCTTAGGCTAATTAAGCTTGCTTAGGAATAATTAATCCCACTCAATTTTAATTAATTCTAATTATTTTATTCCAATTATTTTGATCCAAATCAAATTGCAATTAAAGTTGCCATAAAATCCTAAATATTCTAATTAGCCAATTGAGTCAATCAATTTTGGTTTCTGAAGCCGTTTGGGCTTTCAATTTCTGATTCTAAATCGATAAGTAAACAGATATTCCATGTATCAACAGATAACAACCAAATTAAGCATATAATCATACAATCAAACACACAATCATGCAATTAAGCTTATTGAAATAATGTAATATAACATTATGGAGGTTGGGGTTGTCATAAAAACCATCACACCAGAGACCTAGCTTTCGCCATTAGCAAAGAATCAATCACCAACCACACGACTAACTAGAGGCAAAGCAGCTACTAACTTATCAACTAAAGGTGTGGATGAAGCCGTCAACCATTTGAAGGATCGCAGATCGCCATGGAAACCTATTTGCCCTCAATTATAGCCTCCATGGAAACAGCACTAGATCTACAAAGGGAAGGATTTGTCATTGTCATATCAAAGAGACTAAACTCTAATCACAATCACCAAAACACCTTTGTTGTGGAAGATCTACAATCCCAAAATTGAAATTCCAAAGAAACCTAGCTACTTAGAGAAAAACCAACATTGCAGTGAAACTATGATCTCCATGGATCACGCAACATTGAATATACAAGTATCAAATACATAACAATTATTAAAAGTCGTACACTAAGTATACAAAAACACTAAATAGATATAGTTAATAGCATAGGTAAGTGCTCAAGCACATCCTTGTATTATTCTTTTTAAACTTTAAACAATATAGTGCTCTTGGCCTGAGTAAATAGTTGAACAACTATCACTCCATGGTTATGAATTCTCAACACAATACAAAAAACTATAAGCTCCTAGTCATTAATGGATTAGAGAAAACGAGAAATTTGAGGCAGCTTCACATCTGAAACCCCTTCGAGGATCTGAATTGCTGGACCCATTGTTGGCCTATGATTTTCATCTTGGATGCACCAACAAGAAACTCTACAAATTCTCCATACCTCTTCAACATCAACATTTTTCTCCAACTTATGGTCTGATAGACTAAGGGCATCACTGCCTTCTATGGATGTATTTGCAGCCCAAATTGGATAGAATTTAAGTTTCCCCTCTTTAGATTGATCAATATTTATTCTTCCCGACATCAATTCAAAAAAGCATCATTCCATAGTTGTAAACATCAGCTTGAGTTGTTATGTCTAACCTTAATATCCACTCTGGTGCTAGATATCCAATTCTTCCTTTCATGGTTGTCAGAACCCTCCTAAATTCTTGCCAAACAAGCTTGCCAGACCAAAATCCATTACTTTTGGGCAGAGTTCCAACATCTAATAGAACGTTTTACGGTCATGGTGTATGATACAATCCCTGCACTCTTTATGGAGATAAGCCAACCATGTGGCTATCCTTAGTAAAACTTTGTACCTTGTTTTCTAGTCCATAACCTTTTTTTACCCCTTTTCTTGGAAAAGATAAGAATCCAAGGAGTCATGTTACCTTCAGAGCAAAACCCACAAAGCCGAACATGTCGGTTAGAACCAAGCATGCTAACTTTTGCTCGAACTTCTCCCCTTGGTTGATGTTTTCCAGCTTCTCCGCGGCTATCATCGTGGAATCAAGCAATGTTCCTTCGAAAACATAACCAAAACCTCCTCTTCCAAATTCTAGTTGAAATTTTTGGTTGCATTTTGGTTTTGGAGATTTTGAGAAAGATGATTGATAGAATGGGGCAAGGTGGTTTTCTTAAGGATTTTGAGATTGGAAAAATTGATTGCTCCATGCTCTGCCTCTCATCTTCTTTATGCTAATGTTACTGTTGTTTGTTGTAGGGTCAAGCCTCAATAGTTAGGTTATCTTAGTTGTGTAATGTTGGAATGTGTCCCACATCGCCTAGAGTTGCTCCATCTGTGCTGATTATAAGACTCCAATTTCCTTCTCCTTAATACTTAGATTTTAAGAAGAAGTGTGGGATAGACTTTTCAATTTGGTATCAAAACTTGGTTGGGCCAGTAACTGGTTATAAGGCTCTAATATCAAATTGAAAAGTCCAACCCACACTTATTATTAAAACCCAAGTATTAAAGAGAAGGAAACTGGAGCTTATAACCAGCACAGATGAGGCAATTCCAGGCAATGTGGGACACATTCCAACACCGTTATGGACCACAACATACAATAGCCGGACAAACGACATACCAATCACTGGCCCAACCAAGCTTTAATACTAAATTAAAAGCCCAACCCACACTTCTTAAAACTCAAGTATTAAGGAGAGAAAAATTGAAGCCTTATAACCAGCACAGATGGGGCAACTCCAGGCGATGTGGGACACATTCCAACACATCTTCCTGGACCACAACATACAATAGTCAGACCAATGGCACACCACTGACAAGCCCAAATAAGCTTTGATATCAAATTAAAAAGCACAGCCCACACTTCCTAAAATCTAAGTATTAAGAGAGGGACATTGAAGCCTTATAACCAGCACAAATAAGGTAACTCCAAGCAATGTGTGCTTCTGTGCTTTCAGGTCATTTTAAGTTTGAAAGTGAATTTAGGGAAATACAACCTTATTCTGGTCAGGAAGGTGCCTCATGTTGCAACCTTGGCTAACATCCTAGGTTGTAAAGTGAGCATTGATAAGACTTCCTTCAGGAGCCCCTTTCAAAGCAAAATCAGTGTGGGATTCTATGGTTTAGAGATTTTGGAGCCATTAGAAGAGCCTATATCTGTCTATCTAAACGTGATAGATTGACATTGAATCAAAGCATCTTGTCCAGTCTTCCCATGTATTTTATGTCCTTATTCACTATCTTAGCTTTAGTTGTGAAAAGGTTGGAGAAATAGCAACATGACTTCCTTGAAGGAGGTATAGAAGAGGAATTTAGTTATCATTTGGTAGATTGTTAGACTGTGTACCACCTAGAGAGAAGAGGGTATAAGTATTCGCAAACTTAACCAAGATGCTCGTGATTTAATCATTGATGTAATTAGAGAAAGGGACAACAGCATCATATAAGTTACATTACCTTCAATAACTGAAATCAAGAAGAATAAGCTTCTTGCTATCTCATGGTCACTCATCACCATCCTTTTGTACACGGAGTTGCAATAAAAGTCATGTAAAAAGTGTATTTGTCACCATCAACAATGCAACTAGGTGATGATAGTGTAAAACTCAAGAAGAAATTTCAAATGATCCTATACTTGAATTGTAATACCATGACATGACATACATAAACAGTGAGATGGTTAATGCAAACCTTTTGAGCCCAAAATGTAAGAAAAGTAAGACATAACAAGGTCCAATTATAAACCTCAAGATTCATATCCATTCTGATAGTCCGTAGTATCAATCTGTGCGCAGTTCATAACTCTTCCTGAAACAAGAGTACCCATGAAGCCACATTAGCTATTAACTACAAAATATTAAATGGGAAACAAATGTAATTTGTTATACCTGTAATTTCACTGAATTTCTGAATTTTATACGGGTATTCTCGGATGAAGCAGCATACTCAACATTAGCCATTTAGTTTTAGTGTAACATACTGCCAAAATGCAACTCTTAACTATTCAAGTCAGTCAAGTTCCAATATTTTTGCACCATGCCTTAATCGTCTCAATATACTAACTCTACTCACACGAACACCTAAGAAATCATTTTTCTTGTTTCTTCTTTTTATTCCAGCTTCAGTAGAATTATCACTTCAAAGAGTAGATTTGTTAAGGACATCTTTAACTCTTTCACAGCCTTTTCTCACAAAATTCTGACGTAAACCTTGTGACTGTAGATTTGCTCCCGAAAGGTGGCCAAAATAGTAAAGAGGATCAACGTAAGAACTTGAGGAAGACACAATATCTTTCAAGTTGGTTGGCTGGACAAGCTTAATAAACTCCTTTATCTCAGCAAAGCATGAATGATCAGAATATGGAACTGTATATATGTATTCATGATAACTTTCCATAGCTCTTGAATTATCATTAGGTTTATGCATATCCGTGTGGCTCCCAACTTTTGTACTCAATTTGCTTCTGCTATGGTGAGAAGACGAACCAAAAACATTGGTGTTCCCTTCAAGGGGTTTCCATGGAAGACCAGATGGCATAATCCCTATGGTTGGACGCATGATATTTAACCCCTCCAATGTGTCGATACTAAAACTGTAGCGAGGGACAGCTCGCACTCTAGTTACAGAAACTTTAGTTGTGAAGATGTCGTGGAACCCAAGAAGATCCATAATTTGCAGGCGTTCTCGCCAGACCCAAATCTTTAAAGAACAAGACAAGAAAATATAAGGAACTACCGGTGATAGCTCATAAGATTACTTAATATACAAATAAGAAGGATAAAAATGATATTATTTCCTTTCCACCACACCAAACTTCTTTTTTGGCAAAAAAATTAATATACAAGTCTTCATAACTATGCACATTATTACATACCAGAAAAACAACATTAAATTTAAAATGCGGTAGGCTGCATCCTGTATGACATCACATGACACAAGGGAGTGCAAAAGAATCACTAATTTTTTAGTCTAAGCTACCAGGATTGTAGGCTTACATGTAGTGTGCAAAAATAGTCAAACAGATGAAAGTATAAACTCTCCAGAGTACAGTATTTATGTAACCTATACCATATAGAAATAGAAAACATGCAGAACAGAGGGAAAAAAACAAGTAGGTACTGTAACCTATACCATATAAAAATAGAAAGCATGCAGAACAGAGGAAAAAAATGAGTAGGCCAATTAGTTCCAATCTTGAACTAATATAAACAAATTATGGTATTTCTCCAGTAGCTGCAGATTAATTTTCTGAGATAGTTAGCTCTATTTTCCCCAAAACTTATATTATAAATAAATAAATAAACAACAAAGTTGATGTGAAGAAAACTAAAAGCAAGTTTGGGTTGCCATTCTACTTTATACGCACTGAAAGGTTACACTTCGCATAGAGACAACCCTAGCTGACACTTTTCCTTTCAGTAAAAAGTGAGCACACCTTTATTTTCAGTGCTTGTGCAATGTGAAGTAAAAGATCTTCTTTTCCCAAAGAGTCTATACCAATAATGATGTCATGTTCAGGATGAGAGGTAATCACATCAACAACCTATAACTAGTCATAAAAAAGTAAATGAATAATTTCCATATACATAATCACAAAATGAAGTTCAACAGCGGATAAAACCAAAGCTCCATTCAAAGCATGAAACTTATGTTTGAAACTATTATTCACAGTTGGAAATTTCAAGAAACAAGTAAATAGGCATGCCTAATCATTTTTTTTCATCCACATATTGCTCGAAATAGAGAGAACTCAGAACATATTGTGCCTATTTCTAAGATTTTTGACATTTTTACTTTAGTCTGATGAAATCATGCTGAAAAGTTGAAACTAATTTAATTAAAGTACTTAGAGAAATTTTCTTTCAACAATTAAATATCCAATAAATTCAGTTTTTGTTTTTCATATTGATCATGTACCAACAACACATTTCTTTTAGCATTATAAACATTTTTTTACATTCTATCCTGCTAAAACTCCACTCGCCTTAGATTTAAGTTTATTATATTTAATTCTTTTTCCTCTCAAGGAAACTTTAAAGAAAATATATTAGAAAAATTGCTTAATTCATCTTTTTGGAACGAAAATGTACCACATTTTAGAACGTGCGTTCTAAAACATACATCACTAAGGTATCGGCATTTTTTGGTGACACTGCTCCTAGTCATATGGTGTTAGCTAGTGCCACATGTCAGAGCGGATCAATAGCATAAACATCTCTTTAATGTCTAAAATGCCTAATATTGAAACCAAGATTCTAGATTGCCTCACTAGCCCAACCAAGATCTCTAGGTTGCCTCACTCGCTTGGTCAAGATCTCCCTAAGCAATCACCATAAACCCATCCCCAATTGTGAATTCCATGACTTCTCCAACATGTCTAAGGTCTCAAAACAAGCTACCTAGGTTGGGAGTAGGGCCTAGGATCTTTGCACAAGATCATTGAAGGATCGTGGCTAGGAGACTAGGATCAATGGACTGTTAAGGGGCCTTTACCCTACTGATTGTGGTACTCCCTTAACCAACCTTAATAGACAAAATTGTTAACTGATCAAAGACATGAATCTAAGAAGCAGTAACATAGACGCGCACGAATATAACACGAACACACCAACTCGGCAATTTTCAAAAAATGCAAGACACAACCTTTGAAAGACGCGCACAAAATATATAATTTTATATGTTTATTATAAGTTATATATATAAATATATCATTGAAAAATATTAGAAAAAAAATACAATATAATACTAATTTCAATATATTTGCATTATTTTTTTTTTATCTTGTTCAAATTTATAATTAATTTCATATTTCTAACCAATAGACATGTGTGTTTAAGGAATGGACACGTGTGTCCTCCAAGTGTCGAAGAGTGTCTACATCTAAAAAAAAATAAAAAAAATAGTACATGTGTTGACAAGTGTCAGACATGTGTTAGGATGTGTCCGACAAGTGCCAGTGTCCAACATGGACACGTTAGTTTCTTAGAAGTGTCCATGCTTCTTAGCATATGATACTTGAATACCTCTAAGATGCCATAACGTACTAAGGTGAGGAACTAGCCTGTGCTATTGGCTAAAGAAGGTTGAGGGACATAGATCCCCCATGTCACGGGATCCCTTGTCAAGAGATCCCAAGAGAAGCATCTTAGGGCTAAGAGATCCCCAATTGTCACACCAAGGGGACTAGGCCACCTATCCTCCCTCAGTTGGCCTTAACTACCCAAACTCCCTATAAAAGGAGATCTTATGCATATAAGACAAATCAACAACACTTCTTTGCAACATAAGCTCAAAGCTCTCTCCAATACCATTTTCTATCTCCTCTTCTAGGGCTTCCCTTGGCTCTCTCCTTCACCTTGGATATTTTTTGACTTTATTTAAGAATAACAAAAGACAACAGGAATTATTCCGAGCTTCTCACATCAAAAACATGTTAGACAAAACTAGTTAATACGAGGCTTATTAAAATTTTGGTTAAAAAATAAATCTTAACAAATAAGTTAGTAGCTTCCGATAGCAATCAGCGTAGTAGTTTAATTCTACTTCATAAATTTAACTACAAAACTTCCACAAGAGAAGTAAACATGCACCTGTTGAGCAGCAACTTCTCGAGAAGGAAAATAATATGATGGATTACAGTAAGTATTGTCCAAGTAAAGAATGTCAACTTTATCATTCCCAAGAGCACTAAGAAGCATGCTCTTTCCAATCTCTGCCCTCTTACCAGTTGTTTCCCAGTGAAAATCCCCTGTATAAAGCATGCACCCAAACTCACCGCGAAACAAGTACATGACTGCGCCTGTCAAGTTGAAAACCATGAACAACTTAATTATGAAACCCTTTGTCATGACTATTTCCCACAAGAAAGAAAAAGATAGAAGAAATAAAAATCCTTTAGCACAGCAACTCAACCTAACATAACATATTGATAGATAGGATCAAGCACACAGATAGGCAATCTAGCACAAAATAAAGTAGAAAAATTAAAATTAAAAAGATTAAGCATAGTAGTAGACTAGTTGCTCTTGACACCTGAAAATTCATTTTTGCCAAGTAAAATTAAAAAGATTGAAGGCACATTGTTTGATGGAGAAAGATATATATGACCTAGTTGACCTCATATATCTATTCCTAATCAATCCCTTGCTCCCCTCTCTCCAGGACTTCTAAACGAAGAATTGAGGGTTCCAAACCTTGCTCCATATCAATCTAGTCTATCCCTCTTTCCCAAAACCTTATGGATGGTTTATAATAAAACCAATGTTTGAAAAATATGATTTTCAAAGCCTAAAGTTACATGATCTATTGAATCTTAGACTTAAAGTAGTTAAAAAAAATTAAAAAGTTCCTCCAAGGTGGATGAATTATGTACATGCATACGTTCTTCTGCATCAATGCATTAATAGACATGTGTCATTGATAATGAACTTTCTGGCATGCAGCAATTTGCTGTCTTTGTGGTAATCCTAGTTAACAACATATGATATAGACAGCAAAGGTTAACCAAAAGAATTTTAAAAGTGAAAATGTAATATGGTTATTAATTTCAACAATTATCTCCTTGATAAAATAGGCTCTCATTACCTACCTACTATGAAGCACAAACACTTTAAACTAGATATTGTAGTCATTTCCAACACCGACACACCAGGACATGTAACGGACATGCCAGGTGACATTTTTTTTTTCCTTGTTGGATAATCACATACAATCATATGTCCTGCCTCTGGATACACCCTTGGACACATTTGACTTGTGATATTTATGCATGTTCAAGAAAAAAGGAAATTTAAAAGCAAAACTAATTACGCAACTATAATAACTATAACCAAATATTAATAGAGGCAATAATAATACATTTTCCACATAACACATATCTGACAGAAAAAACAATAATAACAATAATAATAATAATAATAATAATAATAATAATAAACTAGTAACATAATTATGATCAATAAAGATAGTAAATACAGTCATGTTCACAATTACTGTTGTGGCCAAAAAAAATGCAGTCTTGATCATCACAATATAATGTCACATTCGACCAAAAACAAACTCCAAAAACCACAGTTAAGCTAAGAAAAAGTGTACCCGGACAGTGATCAGCATCGATGGCGATGACATTGACGGTAGTGTTCGATTCAGTGGTTGGAGAGACCAAAGGGATTGAATTCCATTGACCGATATCTAAAATTCGAAGCAGAGAGAGCTTGAAACCGGGGAACTTGGAGGCGAAGAGTTTGGCGGTGATGCGAGAGCAACAGAGAGGGCCTCGTTTCCAGGTTGAAGACAAGCCATTGGTGTGATCGGCGTGGAGGTGTGTGAGGAAATACACTTGTCTGCCTTCGGACCACCGTTCCACCGATATCATACCTCTGTCCATTCCCTCAATTTTGACCTACAGAGAGAGAGAGAGAGAGAGAGAGAGAGATTCAAATTCTAGGGTTTGAAGAACGAGTTAGAAAGATGGAGTGAAGAACATGGTGTGAATGTAGGATTCGTTTGGCGGGGTTTGTATTTTGAATTTCGGTGCTGTTTTTATGGGGAAAGTCTATAGTACATTTTGTATAAAAAATGCACGGTCCATACAAAATCAATGGTTAAGATTGAGTCACATCATTAAAAGTGACCTGTTAAACAGGTCACTTTTTATAGTTATGAGCTAAAATCATATTTCTTCATAACTATAATGAAATTGATCATAACTTAGCTATAACTACATCTCATAACCAATACCATTTTGTTCATAACTAATATCACATATTTCATAACCACATCTCATAACCAACACCACTTTGTTCATAACTAATATCACATATTTCAAAATCATAATTACATATCTTATAACCAACACCACTTTGATCATAACAAATATCACATATCTCATAACTATTGATCACATACCTCATAATCACATCTCATAAGCAATCCCTTTGAGTCATAACCAACATCACATATTTCATAACCACTAGTCACATATCTCGTAACCAACACCTTTTTGTCATAACTTGTTCATAACTAATATCACATATTTCATAATCATAATCACATATCTCATAACCAACACCACTTTGATCATAACAAATATCACATATCTCATAACTATGGATCACATACCTCATAATCACATCTCATAACCAATCCCTTTGAGTCATAACCAACATCACATATTTCATAAACACTAGTGACATATCTCGTAACCAACACCATTTTATCATAACTAATATCACATATCTCATAACCACTAATCACACATCTCATAACTACTACCCACGTACATCATAACCACATCTTATAACCAATCCCTTTCAGTCATAATCAACATCACATATCTCACAACCACTAGTTACATATCTCGTAACCAACACCTTTTTGTCATAACCAATATCACATATTTCATAACCACTAATCACATATCTTATAATTAACACCTTTTTGCTCATAACCACATCACTTTGATCATAACCAACATCACATATCTCATAACCACTACATTACCCACATATCTCATAACTACTAACACATATAGCATAACCAAATACCCTTTGACACCACTTTGCTTATAACCATTACTCACATATCTCATAACCACTCATAACTATTACCTACATATCTCATAACCACTAACACATATAGCATAACCAAATACCCTTTGACACCACTTTGCTTATAACCATTACTCACATATCTCATAACCACTCATAACTATTACCCACATATCTCATAACCACTAACACATGTAGCATAACCAAATACCCTTTGACACCACTTTGCTCATAACCATTACCCACATATCTCATAACTACTAACACATATAGCATAACCAAATACCCTTTGACACCACTTTGCTCATAACCACTCATAACTATTACCCACATATCTCATAACCACTAACACATGTAGCATAACCAAATACCCTTTGACACCACTTTGCTCATAACCATTACCCACATATCTCATAACCACTCATAACCATTACCCACATATCTCATAATCACTAACAAATATAGTATAACCAAACACCCTTTGACACCACTTTACTCATAACCATTACCCATATATCTCATAACCATTCATAACCATTACCCACATATCTCATAACCACTGACACATATAGCATAACCAAACACCTTTGACACCACTTTACTCATAACCATTACCCACATATCTTATGACCACTCATAACCATTATCCACATATCTCATAACCACTAACACATATGCCATAACCAAACATCCTTTGACACCACTTTAGTCATAACCATTACCCACATATCTCATAACCACTAACACATATAGCATAACCAAACACCTTTTGACACCACTTTGCTCATAACCATTACCCACATATCTCATAACCACTAACACATATACCATAACCAAACATCCTTTGGCACCACTTTACTCATAACCATTACCCACATATCTCATAACCACTAACACATATACCATAACCAAACATCCTTTGGCACCACTTTACTCATAACCATTACCCACATATCTCATAACCACTAACACATATGCCATAACCAAACATCCTTTGACACCACTTTACTCATAACCATTACCCACATATCTCATAACCACTAACACATATGCCATAACCAAACATCCTTTGACACCACTTTACTCATAACCATTACCCACATATCTCATAACCACTAACACATATACCATAACCAAACATCCTTTGGCACCACTTTACTCATAACCATTACCCACATATCTCATAACCAACATCACATATATCATAACTACTAATCACATATCTCATAACCAAACACCTTTTGACTTATAACTATACCACTCTGCTCATAACCAAAATCACATATCTCGTAATCACTAATCATATATCTCATTACCTTTACCCACATATATTATAACCACATCTCATAACTAGCACCCTTTGTTTCATAATCAATATCACATATATCATAACTACTAATCACATATCTCATAACCAAACACCTTTTGACTTATAACTATACCACTCTGCTCATAACCAAAATCACATATCTCGTAATCACTAATCATATATCTCATTACCTTTACCCACATATATTATAACCACATCTCATAACTAGCACCCTTTGTTTCATAATCAATATCACATATATCATAACTACTAATCACATATCTCATAACCAAACACCACATATAGGGGTGTAAATTTAGCCCATGAGCTCGCAGCACACCCCAAGTCCGCTCGTGCCCTGGGTAGGCCTAACTAGGCTTGAGTCTAAACCCAACCTAAGACCCTGAGCTATGTGTTCTAGAGCCCGACCCGACCCTGGTGTGTTATGGAGTGTGACCCATCCCGTGAGATCGCCCCGAAATTTTCTTTCCCATCTAGCTCGACCTGACCCCAATGGCTCCTTGCCCTCATTGTCAGTGCAATGGTCAAAAATTTAAATCAAAACAATTTGAAAGAGTCATATAACCGTTAATTCCACCAACAATCAATTTTATTTTTTTTTATTTTTATATATATAAATTAACTCCTCCCTCCCAAGTCCTATAAATACCACCCCTCTCACATTTTATTTCTCACAACAAATTTGTCTCTCAAACTCTCATTCTCTCTAAACTTTCATACATATACAAATCTTTGGCCGTAGTTATGATTTTATCAATTTGTACATATCTTATAGAACTGTTGAAAATGAATATTACGATTTTGTTGTACTGTTTTGCTATCTCAGCTCTCTTCATCTATCAAACATCTCTCTCATTCCTTACTGTCACTGTAGATATCTCCGATGTTCCTTATCGGAAACAACACCATCTTTGACATTATTTTCACAGACGACAAGTCCGTTCAATCTCTCTTACTCATATTCCCTTTCCTTTCGCTCTATTGGTTAATTTTCTCTAACTCTCATTTTCTGTTCCATGGCTATAAGTCGTGGATTAAATTATTTGATTATTGTCATTACATTCTGTGTCTCACATCTTTTACCATCATGGCAATACCAATGAATGACCCACCTTGAGAAAGTGATCAGTCCAAAGACAGAACTGAAACCTCCTCAAACCACCAGTCAAGAGGGACTTACTGCTAGCTTCTGCTGGGGCTTGAGTCCATTTCATTCCATTACATTTGGGCTGGAAAAATTTTGGTGCATCAGCCAATTTAATTATCTACTAGGCTTGTTAACTCACCCCTTCCTTTTCAGGAAATAAATGAGGGGACCGCATTGAGCTACGTTGGGAGGTGGAGTCCTCCTTACACTCACTAGTTGTAATTGGTTATAATTGTAATAATGTGATGAAATTTTGTACTAATGGCATTGCAAAAGGGGAAGGAGAGGGTTGGGATATCTGAGGGAGAGAAGTCGCTGCGCTGCAAGAAGGGAAAAAATGATGGGTCAACATTGAGAAGAAGGAAACAGGGTAATTGTAGTGGTACCGAGCGGAGATGGAAGTGGTGGTGGCGGATGGGTCAATAACCATGTTCCCCTTTCACCAATTCTCTTAATATAGCTCCCTCATTACCTGTTTGCCCATCAAAAACCGCGCTTCTGCTTGTTAATGTTTCAGAATTACTTGTAAAAAATAGCTTCAGAATTAGGGAAATGGATTCAATCATGGATTATATAGGGTCTAGAAGCCAGCAACTTTAAAATGGATACAAAATGAGTTCAAACTGTGATATGTTTAGATTAATGTACAATACTATTTGCAAAAGCAGACTTAGAAAAGTCGATCTATAAAGTATCCTCTGGTAGATGATAACCAGCAAATTGGCTGTAGTTTACTTTTTCGAAATAACAGAATTGTTCTTCAACTTTTCTATTGCTGATCATCATGACATTAATATGTGGTAGTCTAGATACAGGACAGCTAATGATAGCAGTGAAACCGCAAGAACCAGGAGCAGGAAACGGAAAAGATCACGTAAGCAAGGCAAAAAGCTGTAAGTGACAAATGATTAACAGTTCTTGGCATGTCGAAAGAGCATTAATTAAATGGTGGTTTTCTTATTAGCTGATAGCTAAGTGAGTGCATTAAGTTTACAGACAAATTGCAGGATAAGCTGAGTCAATGGCAAGTTGGCTTTTTTTAGGTAGGGAACATTCCTACTTTTCCTAAATGTTGACTAGATTTTATTTTTCTTTTTGGTTTCCTCTGGGAAGTTTATAGTTTCGACATTTATATACCTTCATGGAAATGTTTAAAGATAGAATTGATGTCTCTTTGTTTATTGTGTCTGTGGTTAATGTATTTCCCTTTCTGTTGAGTTGGTTTGGACACAAGAAAAATAACTATCAAGAATTCTGCAGCAAACATTAGAAATCAAGAACAGAGATGCTAAGAAAATTATTCAATAATTGAATTCGGTAATATAGAGGTGCCAAGAAACATATGTATCGAAAACTCTGTTCGAACAGGCTATCATCTCAGGCGGTTCAACTGGTGGTTTAACATCCATATCAGATATTCAATAAGGGTTAGGGTTTTCAAATCAAAAGCCCTAATGTAAATGAAGTTTAGAGTTAGAAA